ATCTCAAAACTATGTCTAAAAGAAAAAGAATGATTTCAGAATTTAATCCTATCTTTTAAAAGGTCTTACAACAATATTGCGAAGCTTGCCTTTACTGATCTTTGTTTTCCTCAAATATACGACTTTTAGTGTAAAGCTTTAAATTTAACTTTAAGTTGTTATTTAATACGATTTTGCCTTCAAGTTCAAGCGCGTCCCTTACAATTACCAAAAAAAAAAAAAAAAAACCATATAAAAATAAGACGTAATAAGTGAAACTGGTGTTGAGTTTAGACACCTACTAGAAAAGTGCTGCCATTTCATATGAAATCTTAAATCATTGGACCTTCCATCTAGCTTGCATTCAAAATAGTGGTGGGTACTAATTAATTCAAGTGAAAGGGGATATACGTACCCTCATAGCATCCAAGCAAGCTATAAAACTAATTTTGATCTTAGCAGGCCCTGAACATGTAATTTTTTTGATTAATTACTAGCAAAAGAATGAAAAGATCTGGCTGTTGGTTTGAATAAGAAGTGCTTGCGCAGAAATCTAATGGTTTTATTTTCTCAATTTTTTTTTTTTTTCATTATCAACACCATAATCTTTGCGAAAAAGGTTGGACATTCCTGGTTTAATGTGAAATAATAAAACTTATGTACCGTCCGATGGCATGTAAGCTCAATAGTAGCTCTTCTTCTATTTGCAAGCAATGCATCGCTCTCTCTTTTCTTTATTCTGTCTCTTTCTCGCTCTCTCTCTGCTACCCTCCTTCGTCCAACTATATATGCAGTTTTGCTTACACTTTTTTGTGCATTTGCGTACTGGTGTGTAGCGTTATTTCATAGTAATTTTAAAAGTTGCTGTAACCGTAACTCTGTTGTGGCGCAGTGGGCATGCATACTTTGTAGTGTCTACACAGTCTGTCTGTGTGTCTATAAAAAAAAATGCAATTTTATGTATTTATTAATAACATTGTTTTTGTTATTGTTGCAGTTTCTCAGTTGATTTTTTTGTTTTTTCATTCTTAACCTGTTTACTTCTATTTAACCATATTTGTACAGATTGTTGTTGCAGCGTTTTTGCAAAATTTACTTAAAAAATTTTCATCTTTTTTTAGTAAATAGCGAAAATATATAAAATTAACAAATAAACGTTTAAGTGAATAGGAAAGCGAAAAAAATCTTGCTTATACCTTTAAAGAAGAAGGAGAAGGGGAAGAAGTTCGAAAATCAGAAATTTAGTTAGCTTATAGCAACTTGAGTCAGTCATAAGTAACTTTCGAGGCCAGTTTAAAACAAGTCAAATTGCTATAGGGGGCCTATCATTAAATGCCTTACCCTACCTCGCTTAATACAGTTAGTCATATAATGGCTTTTCAAAATAATATACTATATGAGAAGTGCTCGAAAAAGTGATCCAATGATAGGCATTTTTAATAGCCTTCGCAAGGCCAAAGCAAAGGTCGGTGTATGAAATTCCATCAAATTGAAAATAAACAAACAAGGCGGACGGAAGGACAGGCAACTTTATTAAAAAGTTGTGGTTTATAGGTACATGGATAGATGGACAGACAATCTTAGTATTGGCATAATAAAAGGTGAGTCTGTCTCCTGTCCTTCTGGGTATTACAACCGTTCGTACAAACTTAATATACCCCTGTACCACAAGTACCACACTTGAAACCGTTAGCTATGTAGCACTTAAACAAGTCGTAATCTAACGTTAATGTACATATCTGTGCAATGAATATTAGGTAGTGTGCAGTAATCAATCTCAATCAATCAATATTTCTATATTTGTTTCTTTCATTTAACCGGTTAACTGCGTTCGACATGTTTATACGTCAATCCTAATTTTCGTTTTGGTGCGGTCGATTTGCATATATGTCGGATGATATAAGAAATATGAAAATTCGCAATTTTAGTGAGACATAATGCAAACGTAATGTAGTGTTAAGCGTTCTTCGTAATACTAGTGAAAATGTGCCTACTGCCGCCTAAACAGGTAGATAAGAGTCGCGATTCAAACCCCAGTGCGATTTGCAACCGTGCCCGGTCGTAGTTATAACAGTGAACGAACCTATTAATTAGGCAGACGTCCATTAGGCCACAGCCGCTATCTATGTTTGTATATTTTTCCCCTTTCCTGCTCACAATCGTGGAAAAGAATATCCCTTGAGTAGTAGGTCATACTTAAACAAGTAAGAACATTATAGTCAGGCAGGATCAACCATTAACTAACCTACACCACATTGTCTTCTTCTTATTAAAGAACACTTATTTTTACTATAGAACACAAAAATTATATCTTGTTTCTATATAAAGGCATATTTTTCAAGTGCGTGTCTATGGGGAAGCCGGGCCAAAATCCAATCTAATGTAGTACAAATTGAATCCTTACGTAGGGATCTAAAATAGGCACAGTTGGTCGAAATTTAGCAAAATTCAGTTTTGTGTGAAATTGTTATTATCTTATGGGTCATTTTCCATGACCACATAGTAAAAAGGGTAAAAAACCTTATTAAGGTAGGATTTAATAAAATAGGCTGAGAAGGTCCAAAATTGATACAGTTAATTTTGTCATCTTAAATTATTATTACGATATAATTTTCATCATCACGCATTGAAAATTGTATCTTTTTAACGTATGTCCTTCAATTTTCATTATATGAGAGAGGTGTACAAAAATTTCACCATCCAGTGCATAGTTTTCATGCCAATGTGAAATGCCAAAATACTACTACTTAACCACATTTGCCGAGAAAGTCTTTTCCATATAATGTCTCTTCAGAATAGGGCGTTATATGGGGAGTGGTCGAAAAGTTGATCCAATCCGAACATTGCGATCTGTATCGTGAGCACAAATTTAAAACAATAGACGGACAGACAGGCAGATTACGATTATAAATCGGTCAGTATTATAAAAAGTGGGTCTTTATCTTAAGCCCTTCTGCGTGCTGCGTGCATCCGCACTAGCTTAATATACCCTTAATATACCCTGTACCGCAATTGGTGTAGGGTATAGAAAGAAGAAGAGAAGGTTAATCCCCGTACACTCTACACATATGCGGGTCTACGCACCGCTTGAAAATAAATTCTTCAATTAACTACGTAATGCTTGCTGTAGTAAGCTGATATCAGACGGCGAGCTTTGTTGTCATTTCGGATTTATTTTTTACTTTATTTTTTTAAATAAAGATCTTCGATAGCTGTTATCTCCACACCACATGCGAAAATTGCAAAAGTATTTGGTTAATCGTGCACGGATCTCGGTTTATTGCACTATTTATGAAATAAAATTTTCTCTGTGTTTACTAGCATGAGTTGCGAGGTGAAGATCTTTTTTACTACGTCAAAATTTTGTTTTTTATGTAATCAAGAAACTTTTTGTTTGAAAATGTATTTCTTTGACTTTCCAATTCCAATGAGCCTTTCCCTTGCCCTGCGTAAATCTCGCTCTTCTAACAAAATCGTGTACAAAGTATCTATAGATTAGTCCCTGCCGTAAATAAACGCTTGAGCATTGATTCCTTGCAAGGCATACCCTACATCGAATCAGCAAAGATTTTGGGTCAATTTAATCATGTTTCCAATGTCCATTCACCAATATGTCCTTCGCCTTTGACACTCTGATGATCGCCAAAAATGCATGGATAACAAATAAGAAAATTATATTCGGTTTACGATCGTTTCTCTTATACCTCGTCACCTTAGAAAATATTGGAAAAAAGGAAAAATATAAATTTCCATATTCTATAATAACGGGGGGAAAGAAGGCGTGTTTGGTTTTTGCTATTCTTGTAGAATAATGTTGTGGAAATTCATTTTCTGCTGTAGCTGTATAAGCAAAGACCAAAAGATACGCAAAGCGAAAATATTTTCGGTTTTCGTTGTACAGATGTGGGGACGTTGTAGGCGTGCTCTTTGATCCGCTTGTATCGTTTTAAAACTTTTTTTGCAAATTTATAGGCGACGCCTTAATTTTTGCGAACGGGACAATGTATATCACACTACAGTATACTTTGGCAAACGGAAAGATGGACAGACAAACAGACGAATATGCTTAGACATGTTCCGAATTTTTTCTGAAACTTGCTTCTGAATCTCATAGAAGTATCGAGAAAAAATTAAATTTTGGCATCCTATAATAGTGGGAAGGCTTGCTCCATTTTTCCCTTTTTCTTCGTGCAAGCACTACAGCATCCCCCACAGAACATACGTTTAAATTTTTTCTGAAGGTTATGAACTAAGACCTTCTCAGTTTACATGCTACCGCGGGCGTGTTCTTCGTCAGATTTGGCCCATTTTCAATACCAAGCTACATGCAAGAAGTTCGATGGTTTCTGCCAAATTTGAAAACGATTGCTTCATTTTTGCGACCAGGAGAATGTTTACAACAGACATTAGACAGGCGGACAGGCGGACATGCTTAAATCGATCGAGAATTTGATGTTGATCAAGCGTATAAATACTCTGTAGAGCCTCTGAAGCGTCGTTCTGGACGTTGCATTCCCCCATCTTTCTGGGTTTCTCTACCCAGCACCGAGACTGTAGTGCGGCATGGCTCACCATTAAATAGCTTACATCACCCTACAGTTATTCATACATCGACTTTTCCAAGTAAGGTGTTCTACATGAGAAAAGTTGTCCTATTGAAAGCGTTTCCAGAAGCGTTCGGCCTTGGGAAAAAACTTGTCAAATGTATTTCATCAAAACATCATCAAAAAGCTTACCGCACTGCATTTTGAACACAAGAAATCAAGACAGACGAATGGACAGGCTTAGGCTTAGAATCAGGATCATTTTCCAAATCGATCGGTATTATAAAAAGCGGAGCTACCTGAATTTTTTCTGAATGTTGCATACATGCGCACCAACTTAATATACCGAAGGGTATAAAAATTCTAAGAATCCCAAAAACCTGAAAAAAATTTTATCTTTACTTAATATTTTTTTTTTAAATTTAACTTTTAAAAAAATTTATTAAATTTGTTTCTAAAATTTGTTATTATTTTCAGTTACCTGTAGCTGATCCGTTCCTAGAGAAAGTAAATCTCTCCGATTTGGGTAAGTTATTAATCTTTAACATACAATTAATTACCCAGTAAATAACAATTATTTATATGACGTATGTGTGCCTGCCTTGAAATCTATACAAGAACTTGTACGAGTTGTTTTTATTTTGTTTGATGTCTAGAAACAATTTCACAAATTTACAATAATTTCAATAAAACGAAAAACCAAACCAAAAAAAAAAAAAAAATCGTTAAAAATTGATTTATTTTGCTTATTATAGTATATTTCTATATATATATATATATAGAAAAATTAGTTTATTAACACATTCAAATTTAATAAATTTCTGCCGGCTACATCGCGCGCGTGGGCAGAGTCAATTAATAATTTCTTCTGCCAAAATTTTCTAAAACAAGTGGTTTTGTTAAGTGGGAGGAGTTGTAATAATAATTTTTATTTATTTTTATCAAAATTAATTAACATATATTTTAGAAAAATTTGCCAATAAAAATTGATTAGAATTTCCTTTTTTTTCATATCAATCGGTTGCAAGTTAGGTAAGGGGTCGAGAGCGAAGGTGAAATCTCCGCAACAAACTTTGGTAAAATATTTCCTTGATTTCCTCAATAGACGAAGCATTTAGTTTTACGATTTTGATCAGTGACGTGTTGTTACCTTTTTGGGGAAAATAAAGGCGAAATGCTTCAAATTTCACATTTTTCTTTTTCACATCCGAAGGAGTCTTACTGTGCGTGAAGGATCTCATTATCACATCTAAAAAATCTCATAATATAATGCCACAAATATTAATGCTTCACTATACTAATAGTTCAAGTATAGGCGGAAAAGTAACCGCCAAGGACATTTGGAAGAATTCCCACAGAAAATTCTGTCCAGACGCAAGCCGTAACAAAACTTGAAGATTTTAAAGTAAATAAACTGCGGAACCAAGTCGATATTTTCATTCTCAAACGTGGTGGCTATCCATAAAAAATATTTAACATTTAACTTTAACACAATAACACATTAGGCGTGTGGACTGTTTTCGGTACACGCTGAACCTCATTTACAATTTTAAAATTAAAATATATAAAAAAGGATTACATGGGGTCAGAGTCCTTTATGAAATATCCCACGCCGCCCTACATACACATGTAACGACTTTTCACAATAAAATCTTATAAGAAAAGTGGTCGAAAGATTGATGCAATCCGAATAATTTTTACCACCGCTCGCCCTTGGCCCAAAACACGTCGATGTACCAAATCTCATCAAAGTTGTGGCCTATGAGGATGAACTGAACGTAAGCAACCAAGACGGTCAGCGTGATAGACAAATAATAACAAAGTGCTTCTAAGTCGTTCAGTATAATAAATTATATATTAGCACAAACTCAATAGACCTTTGGCGTACATTAGATTTGGACACTTTTCCGCTCACATTACTAAAAATTTCATAATGAGGAAAACTTCCTTAATGTACGGAGACATAACACGCATTCTTTTTGCTGCTAATCAAATTTAAGTCGGCTGCCCGTAATTCGTGAAGTAATTGAAAACGTTTAACCAATTTAATCCTGCATTTGCGTCTGTCCATTAAGGCACTCACCCGTTCGCCAAATTTTTTATCTGTTTGTCCGCCCATCACACTATTGGTCAGTCTAAACGCCTCTGCAGCTTTTCTTCTGTTCGCCTGTCCACCCGTGTTATGTTGGTATGGGTACTATATTTTCTCTCTTCCACAGTAGATACAAAAGATTTCTGAAGACTCTGACATGGGGCTTTATATTTTTTAATTAACACGTTTCTTGTCACATGTACTATTTTCAGTGCACGCTAAATATAATTTGTACGCTACATTTGGTTTTTTGATTTATGATCTGTCATTGTAATAAGAAAAATATGCTTAATACACGAAAATGTGACACGCCTTCGTTTCAATAATCAAGATTAAATCAGCGTAACAAAGTCACCATCATAGGATATCAAACGATTCTAAAGTGATTCAGCCATATCTCTTTGTCCATCCATCAAATCTTCTATCCGTTAGCCAATTTAATTGCTACTCTGTCCGTCCGTCACATTATGAATTATTCTATACGCTCCTTCGACCATGGCCCTATTCTTCTAAGCATCCGTTCATTTTGATTATGATCACAAATCCATGAATTTTTTCTTCCGTCTGTTCAACTATCATAAACGCACAAATTTTCTCAAGACAATGAAGCATGAGTTTATATTTTTTAATTAGCACGTTCACGTTCCTTGCCGCATGTACTAGTTTTAATTGTACGGTAAATACCTTTTTTACGCCAAACAAAATCATTTTTTTAAGTTGCGATATTAAAATCTAAAGATTAATTATTGCTACTAAACCAATTTTGCGCGTGTACCGGTAGCAGTACACGCGGCTTAGCGATTAATTCTCAGTATATATACCAATTGTCACTTAACGTCGTAGCTTCATAGCACTTGCGATACAAAGGGTATATTAATGTTGGGCGGATGTCGCTAGCACCCGAGACGACTTGAGATAGACTCAACTTTTATTATACCGTTCAATCCAGACTCACTTTCTGAATAGATCTAAGCTTGTTTGTCCGCCTGTCCGTCTTGCTTTCTTCTGTTCAACCTATAGAAAGCAGTTTTCGAGGACTATTGAAAAAGATTCTGATCGAACCACTCTTCCGCACCTCGTTCCATACAACACTTTATTTTGAGAAATCGTTATATGAATAACTATATTAAGCGCAGTGGTGTAGGGTATTTAATAGCTATTGTATTTTTATTTGGTTTTAAATTAAATGTCAAAATGATTGATTATTAATTAGTAAGCTATAAAGAGACGACTTTGAAGCCCGTTCTCTACGGAAAGCGTTAAGCATCAATGTTGAGTGTTATAAGTGCGCTGTTTGCCCAACACCTCAAGATGGAAACGTATTAGTTTAGTGATCTCACAGGCATCACAAGCTTTCGTATATGCTTGACCTCTGAAATGAATAAATTGTCCATAGATTTGTCTTTGAAGTTGCTAAGCTAGCGCAACCAGGATTAATGTCTTTGTTTTTTAATACTGTGAACAAAAAGCAAAGCAAAAAAAATTAAGATAAATTTCTATACTTTATAGTATTTGGCTGATTTTTTCTATTTCTGTCAAACAAAAGTGCAAAATTTTCATCGTGCGCCCATTGCAGTTTATAAGTAATTATTAAAAAGCCAATAATAATAATAATAAGATGTTCTGAATTTATGCTGCGTGCCCTTTAACCGATTGGGCCAAATTAGGCAGCTATATCTTCATTTTTGCAGTCAGCAAAATGTTTACAATAAAATTTACGTAGATGGACAGAAGGACATTGTTGAATCGATTCAAACGTTTGATATATATATATGCGCCCACATATAATATATGCTTTGTTGTTTTTTTCAATCACCAATCACTCAGTGGACGTCTCCTATTCGTCCCTAGTCTTTTTTAATAGCAGATTTTGCCCAATCCCTGAGTGTATAAAAACTTAAGTCGTCCAAAATTCGTCCCTAAACTTATTTAATGGGAGATTTTTGCACCATCCCTGACTGTATGTATCCTTAAGGTATCCAAAAATACGTCCCTAGCCTAATTTAGTAGAAGAAGTTTAGACTACCCCCAAGTGTATGAAACCTTAAGATATCCAAAATTTATCGCTGGCCTTCTTTAATAGGATATTTTCGGCGTACCAATCCTTAAGGTATCCAAAATTCGTCTCCAGCTTTTTTAAATATGAGATAGTATTTTAATTCAAATTTATGTATTTATTTGTTTATTATTTAGTTTTTTTTTTTTTTTTTTCTTTAATAGCATTATAAATTATTTCCCTTGCTTGTTGTGCTTTAGCTACATTTCGGTCTCATTACAAAAAAAAAAAAAAAAGAAATGACGTTTATTAAGATAATTTCTCTTGTCAGTCCCACGAAACAAAAAAAAAAAATAGTTTGTTTTTCACCTTCAAATTTTGAATTATTTTCTGATATTTATCTCCCTTTTTCCCAGTTTGTTGTTGTTGTTGGTGTTGTTGTTGTTTGAGTACCAAAGAAACGTAAAGCATACGTGGAAAGCATTCCGTTCAAAATATCATGAGAGATAATAATCGTTTTTTTTTTCTTCTTCTTATTTTTGTTGAGAAAATTTTCTCAAAAGAAAACAGAAAGACTTTAGGTTTAGGTAAACGTGTGCTGTTGTGCTGTGTCGGTTTATATGATTTTGCTTAGGAGGAAATTGACAAAAAAAAAAAAAAGTAAAAACAACAAAAACAGAAAAGCGACAGATAATACAAATTTCATTTTTGTCTCTATCGACATGTCCCTCCCTCCCAGCCTTTCTCCTCATCCATAGAAATTTTGTTCATTTTCTTGTTATTGTTGTTTTTCAAAAATTTGTATTCTTTCATTGTTCTCGATTTCAATTTCAGTTTGTTTTGAAATTTCGAGACGTCCGGTGTTGTGCTAAACAAAATAAAAAACAATTTTCGAATAATTTTTTTTTTTTCTTTTCCTTCACATTATTCACATTTTATTACATAAAAAGCAAAAAAAAAAAAAAGAAAAACCTTTTTTATTAGAAGAAAAAATTAAAACGAAAAGAACAAAAAAAATAAATAAATAAATAAAAACAATAACAACAGAATCGCATGTATTTAGTGATAATGAAAAATCTCATGCTTTTTATAATAAATTTTCATAAATATTAATAAATAATATACAAAAAGAAAGCGTGTTTCAAAAAAAACAAAAAAATTAATAAATAAAAAAAAAAAGAGGCGCTTACATGGAAGAAACGTGTTTCCCTCAAATTAATTAATTAATTTATAAATTAATTTTTTTAAATTAATTTTTGTTTGTTGTTAATTCGTTACATGCGCATATCTAATGAAAGGCAAAATATTGCCGCCGCTGCTGCTGCTGCTGCTGCTTATATATATTAATTGTTGAGATTTTCGTTCTCATTTTGTTTCCACTTTTTTTTATTGGGGTTCAAAAAAAATTTTGTTGAATATCTCTTTCGCGCTAAAGACC